CATTTGAAGATACTGGTACTTAATCCTCTTACAGAAAATTTGCCTCTAAATTTGAAGCTGGAAAGTCACTGGAACAACTGAAGAACAATATATGGCTTTTTTTGGTATGTGTGTTAAGAATTGTGTACAAAGTGAATCATGTGTGCTGATCCTCAACACAACCAATAAAATCTCAAATATTGACGATAAAAAAAATAAAGTTATGAATGCAATCACCTGAATAATTGAGAACATAACTTTAAAGTAGAGAAGAGGACTGAAGGAGGTGGGTAGGCTCGTTCTATAAGTGTTAGTTTTCTATTATTTGACTTTTTATCATTTGAAAGCATTGGTTTGATTTTAAAATGATGGCTTTCTTTTTCAATCACAGTTTACCTCTGTGCATTTTACAGGGCTAATGTCAAGATTGGGTAGAATAATGGATTTCTACAGCATCAGCACCTAAGCCAAGACAAGCAAAAGACAATGAGAGAGTGAAAAGTACTAACAGGAGAGATGCTGGAAAATGTGCCACGCTCTACCCACTTTGGTTACTCTAAGTCAACTGCTGCACTCTGGAATGGACTGCACTGGGCTGTGAAATCACCGTGACATGCACGTAATCTCGTTACGTCTCCAGTTCGTTATCTATAAAATGGATTCTGAGTCAGAGTTTCAGGAGCTCAAGCTCTGGGGTCCAACTGCCAGGCTTACATCCTTCCTTGTACCACTTGTAAGCTCTGTGACATTCTGCAAATTTCTAAACCCCTTCGTGCCACAATTTTCTTGTTAGTAAAATGGGAACAATGTGAAGGTTGAGTGTATATACACAAAGCTCCTGTCAGTGTAACACTGTGGACGAGCTCACTACTGTGCTGGTGCAGTAGTTCTGAAGGAATCATTTTCCAATCCATAGTCTTTAACTTCTCTTTTATAGGTTCTGGGAAATCCTAACACATAGCTCTGAGCATGGCCTAGTCACTAGCAAGCCATGAAATATAAAAACAGACATGAAGCTAAGGTCTACAAGAGATGCTGGCCGGGCACGCACAGATGGGCATGCGCAGAAGCACATGTCTACATAGGCTGGGGGAGAATCGAGCCTCAGTTCTGTGTCTTCCCCTGGTGGAGTGTGAAGGATCCTGAGGGCAACCAGTATGGGAAGCAGCCCTGGCCTCCAGGGAACCCCAGGCTCACTCCACGGAGAGGGAATGGCAGCAGGTCTCCATGGAGAAGCCCAAGGGGGTCGAGCTGAGCCCCCTGTGCAGACAGCAGTGACCCCTCCCCATGGCCTCTCTCTCCCCCATCCCTTTCCCTCTGCTGCCCAGACACACGCTGATTCTTGCACAGTGGGAAGGGAATTACTTCTTGTGTTGCGACAGCTGCTGTGGTGTCAAATATAGGAGATCTTTGTACCTGTAGAAGCAGTGCTGCAAAACTGTGAGGAAGAGCAACTGGAATGTCCCTTGAAGAAGGTGCCAGCTTTCTCCCCTGTGGACACAGCAGCCTCCAGACTCTCTCCATTTATGCAACTAGTGCACACAATAAGAGAGCTGCCCCTGCCCACCAGCCACAGGCCCACGTTCCCCACCAAAGTGGAGTGCCATACCCATGCCCTGCCACTCTGCCTGCCAAGGAGATGCCCTGCTTGCTGCCTCCTCATAGGCCTTCTCCCTCCACATAGGATGGAGCAAGGCACAGCTGGTTAGAGAGCAGACATACCACACCTTCCCCTTGTCACTCTATGTGAGGAGGGCCAGAGTGTCCAAAATCAAACCCAAGTGGATAAGATATCATGTCTGCATCTTGTACTATGAATAAGTACTATGAAGACAACAATATGCAATGTGTTAATTATTGTAACTGTCCTACTAACCTGTTTTGAAACTATCTCATTGTTATTTGTTTCTCAATAAAATTAATTTAAAAAATCAAACCCAAGAAACAGAAAGTATAAGAGAAGTTACTAAGGGTTGGGGGGATGGGGAAAGGGGGGTTACTATTTAATGTGATTAGAGAGTTTTACTTTAGAATGACAAAGAAGTCCAAATAGAGACAATACTTATAAACAATATATACCCAACAAGTTGTACTCTTACAAGGACTAAAAGTGTTAATGTTATGTATACTCTACCATATTTTTTTTAAAAAAAGAAACCCTCCCCCCAAGTTGTTTAAAGATGTTGCCATAATCATATGTGAGAATTTTTTCCTAAAGTTCCAGTCCTTAGTGTTAGTGCCAAAGTGAATGCACAGACTTTCAAGAAAATTTGTATTTTATTTAAGCATAGGTGAACTCTCAACCTATGAAAAGATTGTTTTAGAAGGAAATGCCACAGATTTCATTGTAAATTCTTCCAGCCTTTAACAATGCATGTTCCTAAGACATGCCACCTGTGTCACTGAAGCCCGTCTTGCTGTATCAGAAGACATTTCCTTCTTTCCCTCTTTGGTGGAGATGGAGAAGAGCTGGCCTGCGTTCTGTGTACTTCACCTTCAGCCCCAACTAGTTCTAGTTGTTTTGACCCTTCTGGAAAGCTGTGGTCTCCTCCCTTGGCTTCACCTTCATGTATCTCTTCTGAATTCTGCTTCCACTTTGCTGTAGTTCTGTTTCATAGTTAGGGCCTGTCTGGTGCCAAATCTTGGGTCAATGGTTTTGGACATCATTAACACCAACTCTTAGTTTACAAAGGACTTGAATTGTTAGAAGGACTTGAAGTCATACTGAGTCATGCAGAGTAAATTACATCCTGAGAACATTGGTAATGGCAAGGAAGTTATCCTGAGGCCTCTGAGACAGAGAGCATGACGAAGAGGCCACAGGGACCAGCACGCGGTGCAGTGTGCACTGTGGGTGTAGACTGCAGGAAACGAGCTGTGCTCGGCATGAGTGTGGGGGAGCAAGCTGACCTGTGGCCTGTGGGGCGAAAGCTCTGGGAGGGAAGCTCTGTGTGTGGCAAGGCAGCTGGCTCACATCCCTGGGGTGGTGGCTTCCAGGCATAGTGAGAAATAGATACGGTGGGATAAATGAGCTGTTCAGATGGAAAACATGAGCTTGGAGGATGACTCTGTCCCCACCTTCCAAGGAGGAGTCCCTATGATTCCTGTCTGGATGAGATACCAGGTGCTGATACAGGCAGCGTGGGGGCATTTATCAGGAAGGGCAGGGCCTCCGTGGAATGAGTGACACCTTACGCTCATGCAGCACATCATGACTTATGCCACACATCAACTGCCCCCTGCTCTCAGCAGGCCGTATGTTATGACCGCTCTAGGTGAAAGGAGCTCCGTGCAGGATCAGATGGCCAGAGGAACAGCTAAGCCAGGCATGGCACCCTTTGGGCTTCTATTCTGGTGCTCCTTGTTCCACTGCATGCTGCTCTTCACGGAAGACAGATTCTTGCTGAGATTCTTCCACCAGGACTAGAGGATGCATGATCAACTAAGACTCCAGACTCTGGCCTGAGCCATGCACAAGGAGGGGGAAGCTCATATGGAGAGATGGTGCACAGTGGAGAGTAAGTTGTGTCCACTGGCACGTTTAGTGGTGGCTCATTGACTCCCCAGATAACTGAGCCCCCTCAGAAAACAATGTTTACTGTGGTTTAGGTTTGGAGGAAACATGCTTTGACTATTGTACTTCTTGCTAAACAAAAGAAAGAGGACAATTCCTTTATATCTGTGTGTCCTATAATAATATAAAAGACTGTGTTCAAAGAACTACTAATGTCATTTCTTATGAAAAATACTCCAAAACTAAACATTATCCTAGGCTGAGTAGGTTGTGTTCATTGGGTTGTTCATGAGTCAAATGAGAAATAAATACTCCATTGAAACCAAAGCAACATTAAGTTTTCCCCAGTAAGAAAAGGCTCCTCTCACCACCCCCAGAGTTTCCACACAGATTAGATAATGGCCTATTTGGTTTTAACAAAGCTTTTGGCAGAATGTTGACAAGCCACACATGTGGCCTATGAACCTAGAGACAAAAGAGACTATTACTGTTACTTTGAGAAATTTTTACAGTTTGTCCAACAGACCCAAAGAAAGAGAAAACATTATATCCCACCTGGAGTAAAAAACTACTAAAATTAACAAGCCCAATAACAATGTGAAATTTCCCATAAGTCAGCTGCCATCCATTCAGATGCCCCAATCTAAATCTTCGCTTGGACCATAGCTTTAGGTGGGCCCGAAATACATTCATGGTAATGGTGTGTTAGGCTGCTCCTCCATTCTTCATCCTGAGGAGAACATGGAAGACATGCAGCCTATGTAATTCAGTGAGATCCCACAAAACCAATAGTGAACAACCAGGTGAGACATCTGAGCCCTGTCCCACAGGGCAGTGAAGTAGTTGGCTAAGGCCGTCCCCATCTGACGGATCAGAAAGACTAGAAGCTAAGCACCTGGTATCCAGCCACGAATGTGTAACTGCGAGCAAGGGGAGGGAGAACTCACTGTAGACCCTGTACAGCACCCCAGGAAAAAGCATAGAAAGTAGATGTTGGATGTGACTTAATAGCTATGTCACTTTAATTTTAATGTTATTCTTGGTCCCATGGTGACATTTTTCATCGTATACAAGTTTTCCCTTTGTATTTAGATGTCTCCAGGCTGAAGACTTCAGCCAGGGGATAATAGCATTTTGTGGGTTTGCATCTGCTGTCCCACACATGTCTGATGAACTTTCCGGTTTATTTGTTCAGTGCCTCAACAGTAAAACATTATCTGCACAAGTTTATCCAGACATTTATCAGTCTTAGTTCATGGTGTGAATAAGGCCCTGAAGCTTGCTCGCTTCCTCCGGAATCCATGGAGTTTGTAGTTCACGCAGTCTTTCCACTCTGTTGTATGAAGACCCTCACCTACACCACAAGGGAAACGGGGCATTTGTGGAGGGGTCATTGCAGACTGTGACCTGGCAGTGAAACGCAGTCTCCTGCAGTCAGCTTCATGTAGTTCTGTCCTGGCTGTGGAGATGGAAAGAGTGGCTCACTTCACATGGCCAGTGGCCTCACAGAGAAAGGCCTCTGCACCCCCAGGAGGTCAGTGTGCCTCTCTGGCTTCCACGGAGCACCATCTGCCCTGGCCGTGCCAGTCTCCTCCCTGGCACAGGCTGGACACTCTGTCTTGGACTTGTTCTGGGTGGCAAAGTTTCATGCTCTCTGTGATTGTGCTTCTACGAGGCTTTCACAACCCCAGCTAAGAAGAACAAGCAAGTTATACCACAACCAAACTACCATGTGGCAGAAGCTCCCTGGGGGCTTTCAGCTGAGCACACTGTCTCCTTTCTGAGAGAAAGCAAGTCAGGAGAGAGACTCTGAGTTCCACTTCATTCCACAAAATATACACCCCTTTAGACTAGGGGTTCAGCTGACGGGATGATAAGGGCCACTAAAACATCATGCTATAAATGCAGAAACTGATACACCATGGAGGAAAGAAGTGATTAATACAGGTTTGCAGCAGAATAATGGATTAGCTTGCTGCTGCTGCTGCTGCTGCTGCTGCTGCTGCTGCTGCTGCTGCTGCTGCTGCTGCTGCTGCTGCTGCTGTAAGAAATTACCATAAGCATAAAACAACACGAATCTCCTATCTCAAACTCTACAGGTCAGAGGTTGAGTGGCTGGAGCGTCACTCCTTCTGAAGCGTCCAGTGAAGAATTCACTTTCCTGCCTTTTGTACCTCCGGAGGGTTGCCTGTGTGGCCTTGTCCAAGGGACCCATTGTCCCTCTCAAAACCAGCAAAATAGCACCAGCTCTCCTTCTTCTCCAACCTCCTCCTCGCTTGCTATGCCTCTGACTCTCTTCAAGAGAGTCCTTTGTCAATGTGTGTGGCCCACAGTGTCCAAGACAGTTTCCCCATCACAAAACATTCACTTTAACCACAAATACAAGGATTTTTTTAAAAATCACTGTTGTCTGTAGGGTTGCATTGGTCTCTTGATGTGAACCATTGCGCTCCGGGGAGAAACAGTGGCAGGAATGAGAAGATAGACAAGAAGACAAGAGCTGGGTCGGGTGGTGGCCCATCTGCCTGGCTGGTGAAATGAGCCCTGAACAACAGTAAGGGCCTTTACTTATACCTTTGTAAAGTTATAATACACAATGTTGCCTACCGACTAATAGCCCACAACGTCCAGGCAGGATGTTTTTCTCAAGACTGAGGTAGCTTGACTGCTGTAGGCAATGGGGCCTCATCCTGCCCTCTCACATGGGATTGATTTCCAGCTTCAGCATGTTTACAATTTAGGGAATTAAGACACAGAAAATTTTGGAGGGGAGAAATTTTATTCTGTATATTATAAATGAAAACGAAGTCTAAACTTCAGCACCAAGAAACTAGCAAACTCATGGTTAATTTCACTCAACATATATTTACTACTTACATAACTATAAACCAGGTACTATGTCTGATAAATATCATAAATAATAGGCATTAAAATTATTTGATCTTTAATGTTATGCTTTAAATGTAGTTCATCAGTAAAGAAAATATCTGAACGTCCTTTAGAAAAGGAAACTTGTTAACAGTACAACTTCACTGACACATAGCCAAGAGCTTGAATTCCCAATTTTTAACAAGACGACTTTTCAGATCAATAACAATGAGATGGGAGGGCTGCAAGGAAAGCCAACATTTTGGCCCTAAACTTCTAAGATCAAGTAAGACTCAGGACATATGAGAACTTGTAGTGTTTCGTCATGTACCTCGGTATTGTCCCAAATTTTCCGATGAAGGAGATTATGGGGCCAAAGAGGAAAGTGATCGATGATGTAGAGTGTGCCTAAGGAGAGTCACATGGAGAGAAAACACTCTCAGGCTTTCACAGAGAGCACATTGGCCAAGCAATGGCCATGACTCATCCACATGGCTGACACTGACAAAGGTTCTACAATCTGAGGTACAGGATCTCAGGATAAATCCTGAGGGGATTTGACTGACCTTCTCAGACCCAAAAGCTACAACTCTTGTTGCATAGGTCCTGATTTACATTGGTCTTAACCATCCAGTAGAAAAATATGAAGACGAAATATAGGAAGTAAAGCCATGATGTTATGTTGAGCTGTGAGGGACTCAGGTCAATAATTTCTGACACTGCCAGTTAAACAGAAGACCCAATGCTATTATGGGCTACTTGACTCTTTTAGAATATTTTGCTGAGTTTACACACCTATAATATTCAATAACGGAACTTAGAAAAAAAGGGGATACAGATCAATGTCCATTTTGTATCTGTGTATGCAAAGTGGATGGGATAGATATATAGTTACATTCTGTTAATGAATAGAATGATTTGTTCTAATGATGTTTGTAAATAGCATATCAAGTCCACATCTTGTACAGCAATTAACTACTAAGAAGAATGTATGCAGTGTGTTAGTTATTGAAACTGTCCTAGAGATTTGATTTGAAACTGTCTCATTGCTATCTGTTTATCAATAAAATTATGAAAAAAAATAAAAATTAAAATTAAAAAAAAGAAACAATGAGATGAACCACCCAGCAGAAAATATGGACAGAGATGAGTGCCTGGTAGAAGACAGACATATGGACAGTGTCTACTTATAGTGAGAAGTCATTTTACCTGTCAAATTAGAAAGTACTTTGGGGCCGGGGAGATAGCTCAGTGGAATAAGCACTTGCCTGGCAAGTGCAAGGGCCTGAGTTCAATCCCTGGTTCCACAAAAAAAAAAAAAAGAAAGAAAGTACTCTGCATTGCATGTTTGTACCCCTCCAGAATTCTAGTGTCCAAACTTTAACCCTTACCGTGGCAGCAATTGGAAGTTGGAGCTTTGAAAGGCAATGAGACTTGGCTGGGTGTGGATCCTTCTAATGGGATATGGAAGAACCCTTGCAAGGAGATGAAGGGCAGAGCTTGCTCCCCCTGCCAGCTGAGCTAATGGCTGCTGGGAGACCAGCGAGTGCGCGAAGCCTGCCCAGTGTGCAAATGGAAACTTGGGAGATTTGTTGCAAGCTTGCTCACCTCCGGAACAGTGAGAAATCCTGTTGGTTGCTTAAACCATCCAATTTACATTTCCCAGTGTAGTAGCATCAGCTGATTACTACAACAAGCAGAAACACTAAAGCAACACCCAGGACTTGGAGGCAGGTTTGTTTAACAACAGACAGGTATTGACTAGGAATCAATTGTTCCTCCAAATGCAGGCGCCGATCTTGGTGATGTAGGCTTCATACTGGATAAGCAAGCAGGAAGTACAGAGGCAGAACGGCTTACCCCTTGGGAATTGACTTATAAAATGTGCATCAACATAACAGCTATGAATGCCAGCCAGATAGCTCAGCAGACTAAAGTGCCTGCGTAGGCAGAGTGCAGAGACTAAGGTTCAATCCTCAGCACCAATGAGCCAGCGATTGAGACAGGGAGTGGTGGTGCATGCCTGAAATCTCAGTGCTTGGGATGCTGAAAGCAGGAGGATCACTACAAGTCTGATCTGTGTAGTGAGAGCCTGTAGATCCTGCACTAAAAACATTAAAAAAACAAAAAAGTAACAGCTATGCATCACAGTGACCAGCCATTTCTAGGAGACAGAAGCAACTAGAACTGCAAAAGAACCATTACCTGAGCAACCAAGAAACTGCAGCATGTTGGCTGGGACGATATTTTCTGCTACATGTTAAGACAAGGAGATTGAAAAGATGAATGACGCTGGGTAGAACAGCTGGGACATGGCACCAGTGGGCTCCCCTGTTCCCCTTTGCCTCTGTGTCACGCTCTGCTGTTTGTCCCCATCAAGGTTGCTCGTCAAGCTGGAAAAATATCCTTTCACACACTGCACACAAACCTGACCCAGCAGTGCCTGTCTAGGGGTTTAACTCTCCTAAATATTGACACAAATAGGACAAAAATATATTTAGGAAAATGTGTTGATATAAATGGAGAAACCACCTACCTGCTCCTAACAAGAGAGTTGATTAACTGCATTATTATACATTGATAAAACTGAATATTGTGCCATAGCTAATTTAAGTATCTAGGGAAAATATTTCTTGTTTTTCTTTCTTTTGGAACTGGGGATCAAACTAAGAACCTCAACTTTGCCAGGCAGCTGCTCTGCCACTGGACTATGTCACTGGCCCCAAAAATATTTCTTTCATGTGGTGACATGTAAAAATTTCTGAAGTGTATCCTTAAACATAAATGGTAGCATTATTGTGTTCATTACATATTTGTTAATTACCCTATATTATTTACTGAATAAATATATTCCCATTCATGTACCTTGCAAAACAACCAAAAATGTCTAGAAGAAGAGTGGAGTTACTCTACATTCTACTGAATATTAATACAGACAACCTTCAGTAAAGGTGAAAGGTACAACTATAAAAACTGGTGAAAGAGATTCAATACAGTCTTTTGAAGCTGCCAGGGAGGAAAATAAATTAATGAAACAAAGTACATTGCTAAAGATATAATTAAAGAAAATTTTCCTGATGTAAAAGATGATTGAAAACTACTTACTGAGAGGATGCATTTTGCACCCAGAAATATTAACTCAGAATCGTCAACACCAACAGCCATCAGGAAACTGGAATTCAAAATAAGAATTCCAGGCTTATCAGGTACTTGTAATGGGAAAACGTATCGCACGATCCTCAGACTTCCCTGCACCCTTATCCAATGGCTGAGGAAAGAAAAGCACACCTCTGTGATTCTGAAGGGGAAGAAGTGTGGGGTAAGAATTTTATATTCAGCCAAACTATCCCCTAAGTACAAAGGGCACAGTTCTGAACAGACAGGAAACCAGAAATATTATTCTCCAAGGGGCTTGTTGCCAGAGACAAACCTCAGCCAGCCCAGCTCCAGAAATGACGAGAGAAGAATTTATGGTGCTCAGAGCACATATTTAAATGCAATCCCAAATTAAAAACAAATGTGGAGTTGAGTGTGACCAAATAGAACATAAATTTTGTAAATGTTGACAATGTATAAATGACAGAGTGAAGGAAAATTGTGAAAGAGAAAAGGAAGTGGAAGAGAACTTGAGCAAAATTCCCCTTTGACTCTTTTAAGGTGGCCAAAAGTAAGAGGAACACATTTTAAATGAAAGGAACAAGCAAGTTTTTCTGTTAAGCCTATTTAATAGAAAAACTAAACATTATAAAAGATAATATTATTAAGTTGAATAGTTGCTAATACAATGGCAAAAACATGATCCATGGAAGAAATAATTAACAAGCTGGACTTCATTAAAATAAAATAAAAGTCCTGTTCTATGAAAGACATGAACTAGGAGAAAATATTTGCAAAAGATCCATATGGCAAAGAACTGATTTTGGAAATATATAAAGAACTCCTAGAAACCCGCAATAAGAAAGTCAACAGCCCAATTTAAAAATGGGCAAAAGACCTGAACAAACACCTCATCAAGTATCTGCAGGTGGCAAGTGATATGACAGAGTGGGAAACGCTCAACAAAAGAAATGCATCTGGCGTGCAGCCGCACCACGGGAGCTGGGAGCAGGACACCGGTCAGGACTTCTCACCGCGTCGCCCCTGTAGAAGAGCAGTTGCGCAGGCCCGAGACCAGCAGAGGCGGCCAGGCCAAGCCCCCTTCCCTCATCATCCACACTTGGAAACAGCACCGACTCACTCATCAAGCCTCACGGCTGAATCACCTCCTAGATGTCCCACCTCGCAACACCCTTGCAAAGCAATTCAAGTTCACAAGGAGAGTGAGAGGGGACGTTTAAGCACAGCACAGGGAATCACTGGAAAGCTGCTTGAGGTAGTGCCGCACCTATTGGAAGAGCCAGCGTCCCAAACCACAGACACCATCAAACCCTGACAGCAAGGCAGCAACAGGCATTCTCATTCACCGCGGGTGGGTGCAAATCAGCATTGCCACCTTGGAGGGCAGCTGGGCAGTTCCTTAGCAACCTGGGCATGAGCTTAGAACGTGATCCAGCTACTCGACGTGCACTTAGAACGTGATCCAGCCACTCAGGCCTTGATTCCTACAACCAGGAGTTGAAACTTTGTGTTGCGGTAGAAACCCGCAGCCTTCTTCAGTTCCCAAAATTGGAAGCAAGTTGTTCTTCAGTGGGTGGACGGATAGGCAAACTGATACATGCCGGCCGTGGAGTATTAGTCAGTGCCAAGAAGCAGTGAGTGACCACGCCAGGAACAAACATAAAAGATACCAAATCCACACTGCTGAACAAGAAATTGTATTAAGACCTCCACACATTGCAAAATCCCAACTGTTCAGGAATCTGGGGAGAGCGAAATAACAGAAGCAGTAGAAAGATGAGTGGTTGCTGGAGTTTAGAGAGGAAAATGTGGTTTTCAAGGGGAAAAACTAGCGCCTGCCTGGCAAGCATAAGGTTCTGAGTTTGATCTCTGGTACTGCAAAAAAAAAAAAAAAAAAAAAAAAGGTTGGGTGAAACTGCCACAAATCTCTGTTCCTAATTAAAATCTTGGGGGCCAGGGAGATGGCTCAGTAGAACAAGCGTTTCCCTGGCAAGCGCAAGGGCCTGAGTTCAATCCCCGGTTCTATCAAATAAATAAATAAATAAAATTTTGTTATTACAATGTGTACATGTAAAAGAAAATAAGTACAGTCTCTTTTTTCATAATTCTGGTACAGCTTTAAAATCAAAACAGATTTACAAATTGATTTTTAAAAAATAAAATCATTTTCCATCCAAAATGTAACGGAAATTAGTAGTTTATGGGACAGACGATACTTTATGGAAATAAAGTTGTGTCTCATAAGGCATGACATTACTTAATTGGCCTACTGAAGATTCAACTATCCTTCTGGGTTTTTTTTTTTTACTTGAAATTATTTATAATAATGTACTTTGTTGTTTAGTAGTGCAAAGTCATCACTTCTAAATTGTGTTTTTTGTTAATCAGCTCAAGAGAGTAGCATGGTAATTTTTGGTACCAATAAGGCAAAGTATAAAAATATACCTGTGGATAAAAATACACCAGGGGCACTAAAATCACCCAATACTCTTCAGTTACAACTATTTAGAATACCCAGGTTTTATTTGACCAGCTTGTTGAATTCAAGACATCAAAGTCTATGATGTTTGAGTGCTCTCTCAGGTCTTTGTTTGGGAAAAACTAGCTTAGAGTTTTAGAACCTTAAGTTTCTTCCTAAGCATCTCCAGATAAGCAACCTTGGTGTATCCTTAGTGAGTGAAGCCTGATTTTAAGATGACTTGGGGCGTTTGCTACTTCAGTCTGATGTTGTCTACAAGTGGCCCAGTTTAAATACCTCAGAGTAGACACCTCAGGGAATCAGTGTTTCCCCTTACATCAGGGTAAGTCTGCAGACACAACAAGAGCTCAACTGGAAGGTTTGTGAAAACTATGACGTGTAGCTTGGCATCAGGGTCAGAGCCTAGAGAAAGACAGAAAACCCTGGAGATAGGAAATGAACGAGTACCTAAGGCCTATAAAGACATCAGGCAGAATTCCCAGTGCATGCTGCTACGTATAAAATTGACATCCTGCAGATAACAAGTTCTAATCAGAGATTCCCCAAAGAGGAGCCTGAAACTCCACCAGTCTCCACCCAAGCAATGGCACCTTGGAGTTTCCAGGCCCCCGCGGTCACCTTCGGCTCTCAGCTTCTGCAGGTTGCAGGGGCTCACAAGCCACTGGCTGCTACGGCTGCACTTGCAGGGACGGCATCCAGGAAAGACAGTTAGGCCCTCTCTATCTCCCCTTGCTTCTCTGCCCATTCATTCTTTTAAAAAAGTGCTAAAGAAGGCATCTCAAGGCAACCTGTTTTCTGAAGGAGAGCAGCAGAAGCTGTTTGAAAGTTGATTGCTCGATGAGAGTAAAGGTGGAAAATATTCCATGTGCCTCTGGATAGAAAAAAGTAACATTTAAGCCATGACCATTCTACAAATCTTGGAATCAATTCACTTTGAAAATTATCTATGTGGGCTGGTGAGATGGCTTAGTGGTCTAAAGCACCTACTTGGAACAAGCTTGGCAAAGCACAGGGACCGCGTTTCAATCCCCCAGCACCACATGCCAGCCAGCCCACCCCCTGGTGGGCTGAGCTGGACACACACACACACACACACACACACACACACACACTAAATAAACGTTAAAAAAAAAATTATCTACGTGTGTTGTGCTTGTAACGGATTGGAAGGAAGCCAAGATTGAAGGGGGCAGACAGAGGAAGGGAAAAGAGGAACGGAAAGTAGTTTGGGTGAAGATCACCAAGAACCAGATTAGTCATTATTTTCAACACCTTGCCAATAAAGCACTATTAAATATAAAGAATTAACAAAAATACTGGTGTAAAGTCATATTTTTATTATAAAATGTGAAAGAAATATGGCGCAATATAACATTAAAACTACACAGATACCACCAATGCAAGTGAAGTTCATTAAAGCACAGCCTCAACAGAACTGTTAAGTCTAGAGCCAGAATCCAGGTTCCCCGCTATTAGCACAGTGCAGTGATCAGAAGTGAGGGTTTTATCCCTGCAGGTGCTTAAGTTTGTTATCTTAACTTACTTTTTAAAAATAAGGTGTATTAAAGATAGATTTACTTCCCTTGTGCTTTATTTTCAATTTAAGGTATTTAGTTCAGTACTTGCTCAATTTACTACGGAAAACTTGCAATATGAATAATAATGGCTAATATTCTGGAGAATTCTAATAGCTGCTTCAGTGATATAATCTGAAGTCTTAGCAGCAAACATCTATAATGGTCATGAATCACATAAGGGTCAATATCAAGCTGTGATACTTAGTTTTGCTTTCAGTTTTTTCAAAATAGCCAAGGATTCTTGGAAAAATTGCTCTCTAAGTGTTCTTCTTGCCTGAAGGCACAAATGAGGTGGTTACACAGTACAGCATTTTAGTGAGTAGCTATAGGTGTGCACCACGCAGCCCCCTGCGACCACTGCCATGCAGCGTCTGGATGGCGCGCTCCTCCCGCCACATCTCCCTCTTGGAAGTGGTCTTTGCAAACTAAAGAAACAGCGTGCATCAGTGTTCCAGGGCTGCCATGAGACATACCACAGATGGGACTTACCCAAGAGAAAGCATTTTTCATAGCTCTAAACAATTACAATGCAAGGCCGCAGTTTTTGCAGGTCTGATTTCTTGGAAGGCCTCTCTCCTTGGGCTGCATGTGTAGACCTTCTTGCTATGTCTCTGCCTGGGCGTTCTCTGTGTGTACGTCTGTGGTGCTGCCCATTTCATGAGGACACGAGCACTATTCAAGATCTTGTTCCTGCCCTAAACTGCCTCTTCCAAAGCCACGTGCCCAAACACACCTCACTGAGTGGTGAGGCTCCACCTGAAGAATTTGAGGAGGATGGCTACAGTGTCTACACTAAGCAACGTCTACCATCTCAGAAAGATAACAGAGAGGTGGCTCCAGGGCAGCCTCACAGTGTCCTGTAGATGCTACAGATTGTATCATGCTGTACAATTGTAATCCCAGGTTACCATGTCATGTACCTTCATCCAGATAGTACAATACACACACACCCTCCCATGTGTCCTCTGTTGCCTGACCAGCCTACAGCTAACTTTGTGAACTTTTTAAACCCCAGGATTGAAAAATAATCCTGTTGTGTGTTCCAACTGATCAATGCATAAGTGGTAGAAGTTATTTTCAGTGAAATCTTTCTGTAAAACCAAAAATTAAAATATAGCCGTATAAAGAAAAAGGTCTTGAAATTATCCAAGTTAGAGACATAGACCACTCACACCTCGGGCTCTGGTGGGAGCGTTCCAGCAGTAGCTTAACAATTCTCCATGCTAACAGATCGTCCCAAATAATAGGAATTTTTCCCAGCAAGTGAAAGGAAGCTGGGTTGTTAGTCTTCTGTAAAACAGTAGTGTCAGCCCACTTGCTCTGGAGGAGGGACTGTTGCAGGACTGTGTGGACAGCAAGGTGAAAGTTAGGAGGCCTGTGCTATACGATAAGGAAATGTGTGCACCCCAAAAGGCAGACGTAGCCTCTCTGAGCTCCTCACGGCCCTTCTCAAAGCACACTGGGAAAGAGAACTGGTACAAATGAGATAAAAAAAAAAAAAAAAACAGGAGAGAGCAATACTCATTTTCTGCTTACTAGCAGTGTGGATTCCACTTTGAAGCTGAAGAAGGAGAGAACTTCCCCAAATAGTGTTGCTGTGGTTGACTAACTCTGAAGATCTCAGGTGTGATTCCCTCCTTAGTACTTGGAATCAGAAAGAGCCACAAAATCATGTGGGGCAAATGCTGATTTGTGCAGTTCAGCAGCCCCACTCACTCAGCAGAAACTGCTTTGATTTTTGACTTTCAGAAAGCTACTCTACCAGGTGATTATTATGGTAATTGGAATTAGGAACGGAATTACAGTGGAGCCCTAAATAACATAATGGTGATGTTCAAATGGCTATCTAGCTATTACGCTGAACTACTTTGAACAATGAGAGGGACAGGGTCAACTTGTGAGGGCACTAATTTTAATTTGGGGGAGCCAATTTGTTGGCCTTTCACTGCTTCCTTAGAGGAAACCCAAAGTCTGAAGACATTGCCCATGGCCTATATCCAAGGAGAAAATTAGAGCTCTCCTGCCCTCAGAGGAGATGTTTAGCTTCTTCCTTCTTTGAGGATAGTTGAGTTTCCCATTCGTAGGACTGGCAATCTGTCCCACAAAATGAGAGATTCTCGGGAGAGCTAATTACTTTGGGATGGTCTCCCCCTTTTTTAGTGTCTGTGAGCACATTATGTTTTTGAGAAAGGAGAGGATGTCGAGTGCTGCTCCACAGACATTATTTAAAGCCGTCATGTATCACGGAGCTCTCAGGTTAAAGTTCACTAATCATAAAACATAATACTGACAGCTAATTTGCTTCTGTCTTCATCTGCGAAGACATTAGCAGGGTTTAATGAGTGGGGAGCAGCGGCAAACATTCATTATATATTTTCAGATGATTGAGAGGATTATTATGGTAATTAAAATCAAGAGTCACAAAGAAGCAAATTAGAAATGAGAGTCCTAAGAATCAAATCAGTAGGAAGTGGGGCAAGTTTTACACACACACACACACACACACACACACACACACACACACACAAATGGACAGTCTGTCCTACAGTTTTTCCAAATTGTGCATTTTGTACTTTGCTCTTAGCTTTTAAAATATGTTAAAAGTGGACCAGGGACATAGCTCAGTAGAATAAGCACTTCTCTGGCAAGCGCAAAGGCCTGAGTTCAATCCCCCGTTCTGCAAAAAAAAAAATGTCAAAAGTATGTGTATATTGTGATAGCTACACACACAGAGAACTAGGTGTTTCTGATAATAATTGTCCTCAAGAAGCAAGCATATTAATGTCATAAACTATTGTTTCAAATGTTTATTATGTACATACTATAATGCTTCCACTGTTACAAGAATGGGTATGCATAATGCATACTCTGCTGCAATATGTCTACAGTAAACACATTATAGGCAACCACGTCACCTCAAGAAAAAGAAGGTAATTGATTCATACATGTGCTGATACTTATTGTTTTGGAACAAAACATGAGAACATTTGAACTCTGTTTTAATATATAAAATGAAAATGAAGAGAGTATGTGCAGGACTTTTTAACCTTCCATTTTTTTCTACTTTTGTATTTGGCCAGGAAGATGGCTCAGTAGAATAAGCGCTTGCCTGGCAAGCACAAGAGCCTGAGTTCAATCCCTGGTTCTGAAAAAAAAAAAATCAGGTTGAGAAGCCCTGACAGGAAGAGAAAATGTGGGCAGATGGACTTGCACATTGTTCAGTTTGGTGGGAGCGGGGGGAGGACTGTGACTCTTGTCTCTAGTGTGTGTCTCTTACTAACTTCCCTTTAGCTGATCACTTGAGAGACTGTTTTCTGAACTCAGCGGTCACAGAGAATTACTCTACTTTTGTATTTGGTCCAGAGTCTCATTCCATAGCTCAGACTCACAGTGATCCTCCTGTTTTCAGCCTCCCCTGCACTGGGATTACAAGCATGGGCCACCACACCTGGCCTCGGTGGCCTGCTCAGCATGCCCAGGGGCAGGGCTGGTGCAAGCTGTGGTGCTGGGGAATCGAACCCCAGCCCCTGCACTTGCCTCAGCAGGCACTTAGTCCACTGATCTATTTCACTGGTCCTTTAACTTTCCTGTTTTCTTGCATGATTCAAATTTTATCAGTGACATGTATTTTTGATTACTGTTAGCCAGAAAAAACAATAAGCAGGAGAAAGAGAGAGGCTAAATTGCAAAGGATAAGTTAGGAAAACAATTCAGATTGTCCAGTTGGGATTTTTATACTTCTTTTGAAAGATCAAACATTTACCTAATCTTTGGATATTTGGAGAAAAATCTGTAAACACAAGGGCAAAAATGTGGACCCAGATTCCCAAGATGAATTATCTGATGCAAACCCAGTCAGGTTTTCCCATGAAGGAGCCGACTTTGTGCCGCACAATGGGCAGAGTCCTGACTCAGAGCCCTTGTGTGGCCAGCCTGGCTAATGCTTCTGAAGGACATAGGGCCAGTAAATTCCCTGTGAAGCTCAATTCTTACAGCCTACTTTTCTTTCTTTTTTAAAAAAATTATTTTCTTATTCTTAGATAAATCTTGGTTCTAGTGGAAGGAAATCTTTGTTTACTTGCTTTGATCTTGTTAAGAGCTCCTTTAAAGCACAGGTCTCCACTGTAGAAATGCACATGCAGCAGAAGCTCTGACAATTGTGAGCGCGTTCCCTTCAGGCTTCTTCCCAGCCCACTACACAGAGGCCCTCGGGAAGAGTCTGGGGAGATGTTTCTGTCTGATCTAAAACAAACCAAGCAACTGATCTGTTTTTATCTTCTGGACAGTGTGCATTTTGTAACAAATCTTGTTTCTTGTTTTATAGGATTGAAAATGTGTAACCTAGGTGTCTCTAGACCATACCAGCTCAGGGCCAAAAATGACTGGTGATGTTTCTCTTGTTGAAATAAAATACCTCATGTCCCATATTAAGGAAGGAAAGGTTTACTTACCTCACAGTTAGTAGAGCTTTCAGTCCGTACTCGGCTAGTCTCCAAGGCAGAGTGGCACAGGGCAGAGGGCAGCCATTCATAGTGGTGGGAGATAGTGAAACAGCAAGAGCAGGTAGGGAGGAGCAGGCAGGAGGAGCGAGCCTCCGTCCCTCCTTTTGTTGTACACAGGCTGCCTGCCCCAGGGTGGGGGCAGCACTCACACCCCTTATCCTAGCATTGGACCATGAAGAAATCATTACTGCTAGAAGTCCACCCCATGACTGCGTGAAACTTTGGGGGGACATCTAGGTGCAACGCATAACACTGAGTCCATTAACATTAATTCTCAAACAAGAAGGGCAGGTGGACTTGCGCCCTCACAGAAAAGACCAAACATGTCTGCACACCCCTTGGGGTGCACCATGCATGTGTCACTTGGGGCTGAAGTAGCAGAAACCAATTGTTTTAGTTTAAGCAAAGAACAGGGAATTTGCTCTATGATTAGAAGTAATAAGGTAAGAGCAGAGAGCCTTTTGTCTCAGAAAAGCCTAGAGAGGGAAAGAAATATCTGTTCTCAATGTTTAGTCTCTTTAATATCAGTCAAACTGATAGCAACAGTTTGAACAGAATTCCTATCTTCTTCATTCCACTATGGTGAAAGGGGCAAATGAAGGTGACCCTCAGATGACCAGGTAGCAGGGTGGATGGGAGAGTATTTCCAGAACAGGGATGAGCAGGGATACTGTGACGTATGTATGTGACAGTGAGAATAGAAGTGGTTGGCTTCAAGATGTAGCTGCTCATCTCAAAGGACAGTGGCTCCCCCTTTTCTCAGGGCCACTCCCCCTAAGCCACCTGTCCCTGCCCTTTGCAGTTGCAATGTTCTTACAACAAATCTCACGCCGAGAGATAGCTCAGTGGCATAAGCACCTTTCTGGTAAGTGCGAGGTCCCAAGTGTGATCCCCAATACTGCATTCTGGAACCTGGATTCTCGGTGCAAGCCTCAAAACTGGGTATGGTGGTACACCTACAATCCCAGCACTGGGGAGGCTGAGACAGGAGGATTACTAGAAGTCCAAGTTATGTAGTAAGACCCCTGTACCCCCCCAAAAAAAAGAAGTCTCAAAGTTGCAATCTCAAGATGCTGAAACTTCATAAAAGTCACTAGGACACTTTGCTTACAACAAATCTCACGCCCCCAGAAAGATGGGAAGACAGCCTTTCCCTTGGAGGCAGAAGGGGCTGGCCAAATAGCTCAGGGGATTAAAGTACCTGCAAGCAGGCACAGGGGCCAAGGGTAGCTCTTGGGAAGCTGTACACAGGCAGGTCACTACGAGTCCAATCTTGTAGTGAGACCCTGAAGACCCTGTAGACCCTTCTTCAAAATACAAAAAAAAAAAAAAAAAAAACTGTTCCCCTTGTAGGAAGATGCCATTCTGAATCTGGGCCAGGATTACTCTGCCAGAGCTTATTTGGGAGAGTCAGAGGGAGAATATAAACCCTCATCTGTCTGATTCTGAAGTTCTTATTTTCTCATCTAAAACTAAACTTAAGGCCAGGGAGATAGCTCAGTGGCATAGGTGCCTGCCTGGCAAATGTAAGATTCCGAGTTCTATCCCCAGTATCACAAAAAAAAAGTTTGCTATAAAATTAAACTTAAAAAAATAAAGAGAATATATTATGTTTTAAACAAATTGCAGAAACACACCCAAAATAAAAATTGAGCTGTCTTGGCAGAACAGCGCCAAGAGATGGGCGAAAGATACCCATCCCTGATGCTGCTGCTTGTGAGGGGAAAGCCTGGAGGGGCCTTTGGAGCCTTGGAGACAAGGGGGTAAAAATATCAGTAAAATTCTAAACTTTACTTGAAATACATATGCGTTCAAAAATTCAGGATAATTAGGAGCAGTTGCTGAAGAAAAGACATTTTCCTCCTCAGGGGATGAGGTAAGGCACAGATTCTCCTGGCCCCTGGACACGGCCTTCCTTATTCTCCTGGAAGGAAACTTTGCCTCCTAGCAAAGCTGGGAGAAGGGCCTGGTATAGAGCTGTGGTGTTGACAAAGCTGTGAGGAGGAAACGTTGTGTCACCCTGCCCAGGAAGGGCTCCCCTCTGAGCCTTTCTGGAATCCGTTTCTTTTTTTTCCTTTCTCTTTTTTCTTTTTTGCGGAACTGGGGATTGAACTCAAGCCCTTGCACTTGCCAGAGAAGTGTTTACTCCACTGAGCCATCTCCCTGGCCCAGAAATCCATTTCTTAAGATTAAACCCCATGCACGATCACCACAAACAGTAAAAAATTTTTAAAACCTCAGTTAATCAAGAAAATCAACCTGCTGATGTGTTGACTACCTAGCGTTACTGCTGACCTAAAAATCAAGAGCACTAGTCCCGCGATGTGCGTGTCCCTGGAAAAGCAGTGCAAAGCCAGTCCAACTGAGGTTCCCTGTGAGTGAGAAGACACCATGAGCCTTTCCCCAACGTGTCCAGTCACCTCACAGAGACTGCTGGCACTAAATGTCCGTGACTTTACTCTCCCACGAAGTCCCAGTGAAATATTTGAAATAGATTATAAGCTCACAAAGCCATCCGGCTTAATGACTGAAGAGACCGCCATCACCAAGCCAGCCACTCTGAGGAGCTTGTAGGAGTGTGTACAGCTTCCAGGGCAAGATGCGATCGATTGTCAGGGATTCTACAAGGGTAACAGGAAAGCTTCATGGACCGTGTCACTTTAGAGGAAAATTTCACTCCATTCTTACTGGAGTGGGATTCCAGCAGCAACCTAACTGTTTCAACAACTTAAAAAAAAATTAAATGCCCAAACCTAATTTATCATGTGCATAAAATTGTGCAGAGTATTTAAAGTCATTGCCGTTATCTGGACTGGGAGGTTGGACAAAAAGGCAAAGTAAGCATTCCATTTTTCACAAATATTCTTGGATTATTTCTCCTTTAGACACAAGAAGTCAATGCTATCTTGGTATATACAGAGTTCGTACAAGGCAACATTTTAAAACAAACCAGGAACCAAGATAACATCACATATTTCAATTCAATTTCATTTTTCAATCTCAATTTTAGTTTCAACTCCAAAAGCAGTCATCACTGTCATACCTGCCCAAGGGCCACTGATCTGGGGAATGCTGCACATCCCTCCTGCAGACCACAGCTGAGAGAACAAGGAGACGGGTGGGCCATGCAGCTCCCACCTTACTTTCCTTTTAATCTAAGGCAAACACGTCACCTGCCTTCTTTCTCTTTTTTAAGACTCTGATTATAATATGCTTAGTTTAAGACATACAAGGTGAGGATGTTGAAACACTACTTAGAATTACTCAAAATAGTCTAAGAGGAATTCTGTATCTCCAAGCTAGTAGTTTCTGCTATTACACTGAAGAAATAAAACACAGAAAGAAAACTGCAAAATTGAACTCAACAAAAAGAAAACAAATGACCACTCCAATGGAAAAGTACTCAAAACACACAGCCTATTAAAGAAGAAATACAAATAATTAATGAATACGTGCACAGGAAGAGGGTGCTGCTCCTCAGTAGTTGGGGCAGCGCACACCTGCAGGGCACTGACGCGTCTGTGCGGGATTCGTTTTACTTATCCTATTGCTAAGCAGTCTTAATTGTTAAGTGGTTTTACATGTGATTTTAGATGGAAGAAATGTTTACCCAAGACATAAACCAACTAGAATGCTTGATATTATAGGAAAAAAATTAGAAATATACATTTTAAAAGCCTTAATATCATTTGACTCAGTTCTAGGTATTTCTGTCAGAAAACAATTAGACAAATGTATAGAGTTTTAGCATATTGCAGAATTGTTTACAGTAGAATATCAATATAATGCTGGATTAACATAGTAATTGAACAAATTATAGTACGGATGTATTGTGGAAGTTAATGTCCTTTGAAGGCAGCATGTAAAACTTGACCTAGAAGGTGGCTGCATTTGTAGCAGCTTTGAAACACGCAGTGCACACAACCCAAAGTCAACTTTTCCTCCCTGATTGAGTAAATATGCTTGATTATATTTTCTTCAGATTGGTTTATGCATTAGTCAGTGTTATGGTTTGTGTCTAGACATGGCCCAAACCATTGTGCAGTCATGGGACAGGCTTCTAGAACTCCCGATTGGTTCGTGGTCCAGGGCGGGGATTATGGGTGTGAGTACCACACCTGCCCTGAGGCACGCAGCCTGCATACAGTATAAGGGAGGGAAAGAGGATTCTTCTCCATCACTTCTCTCTCTCTTTTTTTTTTATTTTTTATTTTAGGGATATGTCTACAGGTGTTCAGTGTCTCACTACTAGATCAGACTTGTAGTGATCTGTCTGTTTACAGCCTCCCAAGAGCTGGGATTACAGGCATGGGCCACCATGCCCAGTCTCAATTGCTGTCTCAGTGTGCCCCAGGAACGGGGCCAGCACAGCAGGCCCAGGGATCAAACCCCTGGACCCTGCGCCTGCTTGCAGATGCTTCAGTGAGCTGAGCTATTGGCCAGCCCAAAACTGCCCAGTTTAACAACTTCAAGGACTCTCCATCTCTTGGTGGTTCTGTGAAAGGAAGGCCCTGTACCGAGGGCTACTGGGAAGAGGAGGGGCTGTCGGCTTCTTCCAATATCTGTGAGCTCCACCGACATGTAGGTAAGAAGAGAGGCTGCCTCTGCCATCCTTGACATGTGCAAAACAAGAACGATTTATCCTGTATAGAATTTTAATTATACCAACCGCTGAGGAATCTGCTAAACTAAGCCTCTTTAAATAAAACACAAGACCCTCCTCCCACCTCCCGCCTGCTTCTCTAGTATCATCTCTTTCTGCTTCCCTCCCTGTTTTGAAGCCCTCCTTGCCTCACCTCGACTTCTTTCTCCTCTACCCCATGCCTTAAGCATATCAAATTGCTAGCAATTCTCTTAGGTTTCCAAGGAGTATTAAGTTTCTCAACTTTCATTTGGTTTAGATTATTTGTTCTTTCTAGAGTAGACCTTGCCCTATACCTTTTTTAGGATTCAAGTTAATCTTTTGTGAAGACTTGTTTTGGATCAT